ATCATTATAATACAGCACAGTGTAGAATAATTCAACAAAGGGAAGTTCTGAAATTGCAGCACTTTATGTAATTGATCCTTAAATCACAGGAAGCCAGTCTGAGTGTCAGAAACAACAAACAAGAATGCTGCCATGCCCTGCATGTACAGAAAGTCTACCACAAAAACAAAATCACAGTGTATTGTCAAGTCTTCATTATTCCTATTTCACCCCGCCGATGGGGGTTTTAGAAACTGACATAGTGTCTCAGAGCAACAATGTGCCTAGTTGGTCCATAAAGTCAAGATCACACTGATGACTGATAGGAATTCTGGTGTGGTATGTATTGTTATTTTTAGTGCCTGTTGGTTCATGCCTGCCTCCTACATCGCCACAACATAAGCCCTGTCAGTGCATATCGTTTTCCTGGGTGTAAATATCTTTTAAATGCATGCCACACTGTCTACGTGCTTTCATATGTGAGTCCTGCATTCCTGTTTGGTCTTCCATAGTACATTTTCAGCAGAACTAATGGATGTTTGTTTGGCCATAGTGACTGTGTAATGAATGACTCATAGTGTGAATGGCACCAAAAGGGATACTGTTCTCCCCTCAAAGCTGCATTGACGGCAGCTCATCTGCCAGCTCGTCTAAATACAGAAACCTGTACTTGTGTTAACGAAAAGCTGAATTCAGGTCAAGTCATTATGGCATCATCAATGAAAATAGCATCATTGTCGAATAGCTTGCATGCTGCCTGGTTCATGCTTTTAGTAAGACTGAAGGTTAGGTTAGAACCCAAGATGGTTAGCTAGCAGTTTCAACAGTGAAACAGCAGTTTTTGTAGTCTAATGTACCTTTTAATGTTTTCTGACTGAAATGGAATGTGGGTGTTGTATCACTCATAGAGGGCTTTTATCAAATGGTTGGGGGGGGGGTTTAAAAAAGTGTCTGCAGCCAGTGAATGCACAATAGCAGAAGGACGTGCAGTGGTAGAGGACAGTTGACCTCCATCCATGAGGGAGAAATTAATTTATACTCTTTGGTAATTTTATCAACTGACATCCAATCACACACCTCCGCGGGCGGCTGTGGCTCAGAGGCAGAGCGGGTCGTTCCTTAATCAGAAGGGTGTGCGTTCGATCCCCAGCTCCTGGTGCCACATGTCAAAGTATCCTTGAGCAAGATACTGAACCCCAAATTGCTCCCGATGCTGTGCATCGGTGTGTGAAAGTGTATGAATGTTAGTTTCTGTTCGACAGACTTTGCCATCACTGAGTGAATGTGTGTGAAAGGGTGAATGTCTCACGTAGTGTAAAAGTGGTTTGAGTGGTCGGAAGACTAGAAAGGCGCTATACAAGTACAGGTCCATTTACCATTTACCATTTACTTCCAAATCGACGACATCCCTCTGCCTGCTGCTGCAATCACAAGCTAACAGCCATGTGCGGGAATGAGAGAGGTCAGCTTGACGAAGTCCAATTACCTCAGGAGGAGACTGGAAAAAAAAAAAAAACACACATACATAAACACACACGTGCACTTTCCCCCATTTTCTCTGTCGCTTTCACACTGTATCTTATCCTGCTGTATAGCCTCTGTGTGATATTTCCCATAGCTTTTTATAACATAAATGAGTCACCACCCTGGCAAACTAGCCCAATAGCTTATCACATCTGAGCTCACAGAGGCTATAAAGGGAGTCACATGTAAGCATTCATACACTGACACACACGGACACATACACACACACACACACACACACACACCCATCCATCCACCCACACATGTATTCACACACATCCCCACACACGATCACGTCCAGCTATTGTGTATTTAAAGTGGCAACCTGCTGTTTTCATTCCTCCTAGTCTCCTGTGCCTGTCAGGGGCCTCTGATACTCTTGTTTAATGAGCAGAGGCTTTCCTCAGGCTTGCTCCTAGTGTAGTCTGCTTCTGTTGCTGTGTGTCTGCTGTTGTAGCGCTGACCAGAGGAGACATGCAGGTCTGTGTCCCAGGGCTAATTGCTGCTACTTGGCTGATAGTCTTTCTGTGCTCCACTCTCATTGACTCCCCGGACTCCAGGGGGATTCCCACAGGCACCCAAAGACAAACAAACCTGGGCGGACAATCGATAACGGATGCAAGAGTTACCGCTCGGCACAGCCGCTGATTAAGATTCCCGGGGAGTGTGTGTGTATGTGTACGTGCACTACGTAAGAACATGAGTGTGTGAAGGTGTTTGCTGATTGTCCCCACTCCTTCAATGCTAACTGGAATCTTCAGTCAGTCCCTAAGTGCTTGTTTATGTGATTTTGATTAAGAGCGTCCCAGAGTTCAGAGGCATCCTCACAAAAACACCACATTAATGCTCTCAGGTAATTATTCCCACAACATCTCAGGTTCACAACAAGGTAGGTGAGATCGTGCCTCTGCCTAAATGAGACCTTATAATTTACAGTGTTAAAGGGGAACTTGGCAACTATTTCAACTTAATAAACCCGTTTAGAAATCATTTGGGTGGTTAAATGGCCTGTTCCGGTGAAAATGGTGACTTTCCCTGCTCCCCCTAGCGTCCCCAGGCGGAAAACCAACCTTGCAACTTTGGGACTACCGTTCCGTTAAGTTGGAAATAGGAAGTATCGTGAGAAGCGAGAACGAGCGAGAAACACGAACTGCTTTACGGCAATTCCACATAAACGCACACGCCCCCCTTAATACCGGTTAGCCACGCCAGCTATAAGAACAAGCAATGATGAATGTATTACCCACCTCAGTAGACATTGCTCCACACGAAAAAGTTGCCTGGCAACAAATGACAGTGAAAACCAGCGAAGAAATGGCTAGAGTTGCCAAGTTCCCCTTTAAATAGTGAAAGCTTTTATCAGTAGACTTAAAATATAGCTTTCATAATTTCCCCCTTTCTATATTATAACAACAAAAACAACAGAAAATAATATGATAAGAGAATATACATTATATATACACAATGTACTTATATTATATAAACACGTATACTCTGTACTACTGTGCCCTATAGTAAAGCACACCAGAACACTTATTATGCAAATTTTCTTTTCTGCTTTCAATTTCTCAACCTGCAATTTTAATTTAATCTTTCATTCTAAGTTTTAATTCCTCTTAATCCTCTTATTTTTAGTGTTTAAAGAGCACCATTTTTACATGTTTCCCAAAGTATAATCAAATAGACTAATATTATTTCCAATGTAGAAACATCTTTCTAGCATTATATATATTACATGATTGCAATCCTGGACACTGCTGATTTCCAGTTTGAGAGAATTCAACTTAAAGAATATTTAGTTGCTATTAAGAGTTGTCTTGTTTTTGTGAATAAAGACATTTAAAAAAGCATTGTGTGGCATGATGTGTCCGTGTGTGCCAATGACTGCCACTGGCTAGAAAGAAATGCTGTGTGTTAGTCTCATCTCAGCTCTCCTCACTCTCTCTGCCCCTCCATCCCCTCTCCTCCTCTCCTCTGTGGGCTCATGTTTGCTTTTGTACTCGTCTCCAGCCTGCCTGACTCACAATGATGATCTTGACCAAGCACAGGGAAAGGTCAAGGTTGGCCGGCAAATTGCCTCAAAGCAATCAGCCTTGTCTCTCTGCGCTAACAGTGTGAGCTCTCTGTCTCTGTCGCCATCTTGCCATCTCTCTCTCTTTTCTCTCTTGTTCTCTGTCTTTGTATTTACCCAGTGGGGGAGATGTGTGTCAGGGCAGATTGGCAGCAAAGGGGGGGTGTCTGCCCCGCTTTGAAGTCTCGGCTCTGACCGGCGGCTGAGCGAGAGCTGGGGACTTGAAAGCACCAAGCGTCCCTGCCTGGGTGACATTTCAGCACAGACCAGTGTGACCCAGCAGGGTGTGTGTGTGTGTGTGTGTGTGTGTGTGTGTGTGTGTGTGTGTGTGTGTGTGTGTGTGTGTTGTGTGTGTGTGTGTGTGGGGACAGTGAGTGAGTGTCTCCCTATGGCTCTGTCCACAAGGACTGCAGGCTGCTGGGGGCTATTTGCTTCTGCACCAAAGGGATTACCTTTCGTTACATGAAAAACAGAATCTCCCATTCAACCTCTTACCCCTCACTCAACAATAGTGCCATTGGGATGCGGTGCCACAGCTGACACCCCTGTTATAAATACACACTCAGTAACTTGATCTAGTTGTTGCATGGCTAACGTAACATTTCATATGGTTTTCAGAACACACACATGGCTCAAGGACAGCCTCCTATGGGTCAGCTGTTCGTTCCAGTCCAGTGTGCCTGAGTGGCTTTACTCTGATGGCTTCACACACATGAAAGACTTCACTTTAATGTGTCACACAGTACACACACGCTGAGCCAAACAACATCAAAGCCTGTTCGTGGCCTGTAGCTGGACGAATGTCTTCATCTACCGCCCTGATTGTGTGTGCGTGCGTCTTTCTGTCTGTCCTGTAAATGGTGTAAACAGGTGTTAACATGTCAGCCCACAAGATGCCACATGCCGCTGTGTCATGATCTCCTGAACAGCTGTCCCCCGCCACTGTGTGTGTGTGTGGGTGTATGTGGGTGAGCGTGTGTGAGTATGTATGTGTTTACTGCAAAGGTTATAAATGGCTGCAAGAGGGAGCTTTAGCCCCAGATATTGTACAAAGCCAAGGACAAACAATGAGAAAGGGCAAAGAATGAAAGGGAGCTTTATGGCAATAACTGATATCCTCGAGAACATTTGAAATTTTCATTTTTGATCCCTCTCACTGAGTGCATTTTTGTATGTTTGTGTGCACAGGTGTGAATCTGAGTGAGCTTGAAGGTGATTTGGTGGGTAGGGAGAGAGACTGCCCAGTAAACAAAAAGTTCATTCCTGCTGCTAGCTAATGTCTCCATCAACAGCCAGTGTGTTCCAAGAAATGCCCTTGAGCAAAGGACAGAAACTCTACCCCCCTCTCCCTCCCTTTGTAGGCCTGTCTGGTTTAAAGAAGTAGTTTTATAATGCCTGTAATGTAAATGTAAATTTCTGTCCTCAGGTGGAGATTGAGAAGCTAGACTACCACCACTACCTGCCTCTGTTCTTTGATGGCTTATGTGAGACTGTTCATCCATACGAGTTCTTCGCCCGCCAGGGAGTCCATGACATGCTGGAGCACGGAGGCCCCAAGATCCAGCCCGTCATTCCCCAGCTCATCATCCCCATCAAAAGTAAGTCCGGGAGGGTGTCTACTCTCATGGTTTACAAATCACACACAACACAGCTCCTTTTCCCAAGCGACCCTGTGAGCGTTGGTGTCATTTTACCGTCACTGTGTTCCCCTGCCACTGATGTGGAAATGTGGTTATCCTGAACTACGGAAATGCTTTACAAATACTGGTATTGCATCAGCTTAAATACAATTAGAGTATTGTTAAGAGTGTTGAGATTGTTATCGGCCGATAATCGCTCTAAGTAGTTTGATCGGTAATCTCTATAAGCGCCAATCAGAAGAGCTGATCAGCTGACGTATTTATTTTATTCCACCGGAAAGTTATTCAGGCTTTGACACACATTAGATTCACGTAGGAGGGCCACTTGAAATACAAACAGCAGTTTCTATAAATTTTACATCACCAATCCCGGTTTCTGCTTTCTTCTTATCCACCTTTGACCCATTATTTTGTGTGAAAATAAATATATTTTTTATTTTAACCGTATATGAAGGGGTATTTTAAATTTATAAGAAACAACTTAAAAAATAAATGTTTTGTTAACATCGTGTCATGGGTCGGAGGGAGGGTTATGTAGGGTCAGGAATGTCCCCCGAGTCGGCAGTTTGAGATCCCTGCTATAAAGCTACCAAGTGAGGAGGAGAGAGAAACCAAAGACAAAATTTGTGCATTTGAAATATCTGTAACTGGGTATTATTTATCAGTACTAAAATATGCTCTATAGTCACACAGGAGCATTATCACAGCATTGCTCAATTATTAAAATATAGCAACTATTCAATTAACTTCAACAGCAAAATGGCCCTACTATCTTATTCATTTGCATACATTTTACAAACCTTTCTATACATAAATATTATTATTATTTCAGTGAAGGACAGCCAAGTAATCTTCTCAGTGAGAGTTTAACAGCAGCCTTAATAAATATTTTTGCATGTCATTATTTCATTATTTACTCTTCTGATGACAGCATCATTACATTTTGATTGCTGTTTGCTGATCTCAGACAAATCCCAAGTCTAGAAGACGTTCCTGGTTGCTTATAGTGTAACTAGCTGCAGCCTTAAATAAATCAGAAGCTGGTTACACACACAGGTTGTGGGCACAAATTAAATGAAAGGCCTAGTACAGCTTGAAGGATACCAAATGTTAGGTAACTTAACCTGAGGTATCACAACGAATATCCTTAGTAATTGACCTCGCTTGAAAATACATTAAAGAACATTGTGTTCAATATTAATTTAAATCAATATCAATATGCATGAGAATCTGTATCTACAATGCATTAACATATTTTTGAGTAATTACACACAATGTCACTCTCACACCCCTCTCAGACAACAAAAATAGAACAACATACTTTACCAGGAATAGACTCACCTGTCTTACACACTTGCGCTACAACAGATTCTAACATTACCATACAACCAGTCCTGTGACAAGTCCTAATTTGGTTTTGCAGTCATACTGTACCTATTATTACATTAACCCTCAGGGCAAAGCGTCCTTGTTTTTGCATTTGCCGGAAGAAGTTGGCTCTAAAGGCATGCCTGATAATCTGCCATGTGCAATCTGGTGACATGCTACATTTAACTGTGTCATCGTGTCGTGCCTCCTTACCTTTTCCACGCTGACACGTTTCCACGCACACGCACACACAAGTTGGCAGATGGAGGTGGGCGGAAAGGTCATGTCTCAGGGCGGAGTGGTCTATGACTGCAAAAATAGACATCAGAATTTACAGTGATGTGGACAGGAAAGGTTTTTTGTGTGACGAACACAATGAAGTTCAAGGAACAGAGAAGTTAGAGGAATGCAGAGTGTGGCTTTTGTTGGAAAATTTCAGCACACATGCATAGGCACACTGTCCCTCTCTCTCTCTCTCACACACACACACACACACACACACACACTGTCTTTTGTTTGGCGCCGCTGCCAAGTGGAGTGTCAGTTTCAAAGTGGGAGCCTTTAAGTGGCGCCTAGTGAGCCTGGGATAGTGTTCATGTCATGGGCAGTTGGCTGGTGGTGTGTACGTGTATCTGAAGTGTGTTCCCTGTTTATGTGTGGGTGTTGGACGTCTGTGGAGGCAGAGGGGCGTAGCGGCCAACAATAGGCAGGGCTGTCGGAGACACAGAGACACAGTGACAGACTGACCCTGGCACAGAGTCTGTTACCACACTGCACTGAGCACATACTGCACACTTACACATCTTACAGTGTGACAAACTATTTGGTGTTACTGTATTTTTTATCTACGTTTTTTTAATCTATTATTTACTTGTCCACTTAATTTTCTAAATTATCTAAAAAGGAATGACTTGGTAAGGTAAAATTCATTGAATAAATGTCCAAAGCCATATGCTGTTTCACAAGTGCATGATTTGCCACCATATTTTCACAGATTGTTTAAATATTTGGACGGTCTAATTAGCATTTTGCCCTTCATCAAATGGCACCCACTTCGCAATCAACTTGATATTATACACAGAGTGACTGGGCCTCTCGATAACTTAGACAGTAGTTTATAAATTCAAACCCCTCAGCAGTTTTGGTCATTTGCCTTTGGGAGGCCAGACCAAAGGTGATGGTTATGCTCCTCATGAAAACACACACTTTGCACTGATAATGGAATTTTAAATGGCCTGCTCCTTATTAACTTCTTGGTTTATTAAAACTCAGGCCTGTTTCGCCAACCACAAGGCAAAGCCGCCAGTCCGTGTCTCTGTTGCAGATTAATTACTTTTCTATGGAGCAGGGAAGAAGAAGGGATGGAGGAAAGAGGAAGAGAGTAAAAAGCCATCTGCAGTCTAAAATGGTAAGATATATATTTTTCTCCTCCGACGTTAATACATCTTCAATGTGGCTGGCAGGCTCTTATCTGCAGAGCGACTGAGTCACGTCAGGCCCTGGTGAATTTTGATGATGACTGCAGGTCACCCAATGAGAATACACAATGAAGAAGGTTCTGGCTGACATTATACTTCAAGGCCCTGTCCTCACTGACTTAAAGACTAAACTGTTTCCCACTGTAAACCCTGTGCCCTTTACCCCATGTTAGAAAGACTACCGTATACATTTAAGCAGGGAAAAAACAAGAAAATAAAGACACTAATAGTTATGGATTTAATTCATCTTTGTGGTTTTGATTTTTTCCCAAAATGAGTTTTTTAGAAGTAACTACTTAAATAATCATAAAGCTGAATGTGAAGACAGAATATGGAAAAATATTTTATATGAAACACTGATATTTCTGTAAGTAAAGAAATAATAAAATGGTCCTGTTCAGCTAAACACTGCCATGGTGACTTAAGTATAAAGGGTAAAATGTTACTGAAATGCTGTGGTTTGGGTTTTTCTGGGTTCCTTAAATAGGGGAGAGGATTCAGAGCCATGCCTCCATTGAGCCTCAGTTGATTGGCATAACATTTGTTCAGCTTTGAACCAAAATGAGACTTTCATTACAAGAAGATCCTCAGTTACGCCTCTGCACGGGAACATCTTCTTCTGATCTGAAAAGTATATTTATACAATAAGCGAGAACAATTTACCGCTAAACTCCCCGACGTGTCACTCTACCTCTGACATTTCACAGGAAACAGAATACAAGGTCACCATTGTTTTATTTTCACACTGAATATGAAACAGGTCCTAGCATGAATTGATTATTACTTTATTCAGATTTGTCCCAACACAGGTTTTATACTGGCATTAATATATCAGGCCCTTCCTTCTCCCCAGCTCTTTAATTTTTTTATTTTTTTCCAGCAAGGCGAGAGTGCCGATGAATAATTGAACAGTCCCGCGGTCCAAATGTCACAGCAGGGAAAATTGTTTGCGCTGGCTGGTAATTAGAATTTCATTGTTTGTTATGTAGGTTTGAAATTCCTGTCATTCCACATTCCACCTTATCCTGGTGATGGCACATATCTCTGCGCTTGTCTATCTGGGGAGACACTAAGGCAGAGATGGAGAGATGGCATGAAACACAATACATTCGCTCATTCAGCATCATCTCCACTGCTGGTCCTCTGTATAGGCCTCACAAACACACTCATACACACACACACACACACACACGCACACTGTCACTGACAGACAAAGACACTCCTTAGCAAACTTGTCATACACTCAAACACATACAAAACAGTGGACCTGGTTCAACTGGTCATTTTTCTCACATACACAAAATTGTATTAATGAAACGTGATGAGAGTGAAACGTATTAGCCTCTTTATGACTCCTCTGCGTTGCATAACTTCATTCATATTTTGCTGCTGCCGTGTTCAGCGCTGCCTGTCCTTATGACTGAGGCTGACATTTTGTCTCATTGCTTTTAAATGTGTGTGTGCATGCCCCCGTGATTGTGTGACTATCAGTGTGTGACTGTTCTGTGTGAGTGCGCGCGTGTGTGTGTGTGTACTTGTGACAGCTTTGTATCTGCATATGAGCTGTTTTAACACCGACAGCGGGTGATGCAGTATGCTCTTCTCTGGGCGCTCTCACTGTCATACACAATATTTTAGGGTTGTTGCACTTTTTCTCTCTCAGTCAGTCTTCTAACAGTTTCTCTGCGGCACTGGGGATGGTTGTTGTTAGGGTGATACCATTGAAATTGGTTTGCTAGACAAAGAACGCAATTATTCAAGAGTAGAATAAACATTACTTTATTATTCCCTATAATGAAAATCAACACTGTATCTACAGCATATGTTATTGTACTGATGAACTGTTTGTTATTAATGATGTTTTGATTTCTGATGATATGTCTCTCTTTTTTCTGATTGAAAACAGAGGTAATAAAACAACAATATTACAAAGTGTTTTAATTCACCACAACCGACTGTTGTCTTTTTCTTCATTAACCTGCACGTCACTGTTGACCTCCGTCCAGGGACAGCCGTTGTGTTTATGACCTTTTAGAATGAGTTTTTATCTACAGAGGGAGCAGGCCCTCTTCCACAGAGGCAGCCATGTTGAACCACCATGTTTCTACTTATCCCAAACAGACAAACCCAACACTGGCTCTAGATGAAGCCTTTTGCGTTTTTTCAGAGTTTCATGGCGACCACCGTAGTTTTTCCTACACGCTTGGATGGCCGAGTAGTATTCAGATGGTTGCAATAAATACAGCTTCTTTGTCAGCGTTGTTACAAAGCTCTTAGGACACGTGCCGGGTATTAGTGCCACAGTAAAGCTTGTGTTATCTTACATAAAAATTATTCCAATGACTTACATACAGTGAGATATACAGATTTTAAATTTGGTTAGAGTAGATAGTCGATAGTGGTGGATCCTCAAAGTAGAGGTGTTGGACTTGGTATCAGGAGAAACAGCTGGATTGGTGTATCCCTAGTAACATGTCTTGTAGTGGATGAGTAAGATGGAGGACTGTGGCAGAGCAGTTAAAGACGTGCATTTCTGTGAATTTATGTTGTTGACTCAACAGGCACTTCAGCAAATTAGTCGCATTGCCTCCTAGTAGCTTGTAAAATACTTTATTGCACTTGTGGCAATGAGCTTTATCATCATCAACATGACTGAAGAGTAAACACATTTCATAATTTGTTCGCTTTAAGACCAAAAATCTGGTTCAAATTGTGTTGTTATTTTGCCAGATCTAAAATTAGCTTTTTTATTTTAGGCAGTTTGTGTTTAGTTGAATTTTTTAGTGCTAGCTTTTCTCAACAAGCACCATGTCTCTCATCCAGCCTCTCCTTTTCTACCTCTCTCTCCCACCTGCTAACAAATTTTTTCCTCTTCTCCATCAACCATGAGCTTTCAGTGTCTGTACTCACACTTTTTCTTTGTTTTGACTCTTTTTATTGAAAATGTTGCTTTGTCACACCTTTCATTCTGGTTGTTGCAGGTACTTACTGGCAAAATAGGGGCTCTGATGCCATTACCATCCTCGTTTTTTGGTGAAAGCAGGCATCAAACGACAATTTTAGGTCTCATAAAGAGAAATAGCTCAGGTCTGTTTTTCTCACTTGGGGTATGCTGTTTTAAACTGACATTCTGCACAAAGGGAATTACCAGCATTCATGCAGAAGTCCACATAAAAAAAAACTAAAAGAACACAAATAAAACAAGCTCAAAGAACTAGAAAAATATGTCAGTCTTAGTTGCTAATCACAGTTATTTTCTAACCCTTTGCCCTCTGCCTGTCACATCTCTTTATCTCTCTTTCTGACATTTTGCCTTTATTTTTTCCCCTTCCCTCTCTCTGTATTTGTCTCTCTTGATCTCTCTAGCCCTCCATCTCTCCCACCATCATTCCCTTTTGTTCTCTCTATCAGTGGAAGACGGAGTTAAGTGCAGCTGTAGGCCAAATAGCCCAGTGATTGGCTCTCACTTACTCCTGCCTCCCCAGTGCATTTGAAATCACTGATTGCAGACAAGCCAGTCTAAATCAAAGCCCGGCTATAAAGGAAATGCTTTCAAGGGAAAGGGAGTGTGTGGGGGTTTAGGATCTATACGTATTTTGGCTGTGTATGCCAAGCCCACTCTTATGTACCATATAGTTGCAGTTGTTAGAATCACTCTACATTTGCTGTACCTCCACCTGCCCTGAACAAATAACCTGTACATTTAGTTTACATCCCAAAAGCTTGTTTAAACATATTTGTCCTTGTGGTGCCTTTTTCTTGACCTTTAGCCTTTTCTGACCTTTACCATGTCCTTCCTTCCAGATGCCTTGAACACGAGGAACCGTCAGGTGATCTGCACCACCCTGAAAGTCCTGCAGCATCTGGTCATGTCTGGGGACATGGTGGGAGAGGCTCTTGTGCCATACTACAGACAAATCCTTCCCATTCTCAACATCTTCAAGAACATGAACAGTGAGTTCCAGCCATGCAAATGGCTGAGTGTTAATTCATGGGCAGATGGTGTGTCAGCGTGACGTGTCTCTGCACTTTTGTGGAGCAGACATTGTGTGAGCACGTCCCTTAGTGTTATAAATCATTTCTTCTACTAACGCTCCTTCTGTGGCAGTGAATTGAAGAACAGCTAAAGTTTACGAGTCTGTGAAAGGCAGTGACAAGTATTCAGTGCATAGCAGTGCAAGACTGTGCTTTGGTTAAACCAGGTGATTCCACAGAGCCGCTCAGTTCTGAGAAATGCTATGCTAAGATGTTAAGTATCTCTTGTCAGTTCCAGGTAGAAAGCATCCCGTTTTCTACCTATTCTTTTCTCTGTGGATTCAATGTATGTGCATGTCCCTCAGTCCTTTTACCTTTTCCTCCCACCGCTGAAAACATCCACTTGACATAGAAGCTCCATTTTGTCCTTTCTGCTGTCAGTCAGGCTGCATTGTTAGGGGGTGTTGAGGAGACTTTGTCCTTGCTTTCTCTGAAAGCCTCCACCTGGGTGACACCAGAACCTGGGGAGATTGGCATCAGATAGGCAGGGCTCTTTGTGTGGTAGTGTCAAAGCACTTAGCATGGTGTGACATGATGTGGGCCCATTGAAGGCTTAGAGGCACAACCAATGCTGAACACTGCTCACCACGCAGTCAGTAGGATGTGAGGAGTGACATTGTGAATCAATCATTTAAACACAGGCTTTAACAGGAGAAAACACAAGGCTTTAGTCTCTTAATCAATATCCAATTTGAATCTCTTGTCTCTTTAATTCGCTTACATTATCTGTTACTATTTGCTGAGGTCTAAAAAAGGAAGGAGAGAGCCGAAAGAGATAGCGGTGAGAGACAAAGGGTGGAAAAGAAAAGCCTGCCTTATTAGCGCATGGCCGTATGCAAATCTCCTCTGTAAATTAGCTGTCAAATCAATCCCCTAAACCGTTTTGAAGCGTGAGTTTTTCCGCCACGGCGCAGGCTCAGCAGTTGGCCGGTGAACCCCACCAGGAATAGTTTTATCTCTGCCTGGTAGTTAGCGTGCCATTCTGTCTACCTGCCTGCCCGCGTGTCGGTCCTCCTCTGGCGGGCATCGATTAAACCTGAGCCAACCTGTCACCTGGCAGACGTCCGTGCTATTGACCTCTCCCAGAGAGACCAGTCTGGGCCGGAGAGGGGTCCAACCAGCTGCCAAAGCACAGGACCCACTCTGCTAAACAAGGACAGTACTTCCTGTTCAGCAATTTATGGGCATCCAGTAGTTTCTCTTAAAGTTCGGTTAGAGTTGAGGCTGAATATTACAGAATCATTAACCAAAGGAAAGTATGTATATACTATATAAGTTCATAGATAGATAGAATATTTCCTAGTGGTATTCTTCCACTAGCTTTAATGTTAGATAAGCTGTCAATTCATGTCCTGCACCACCCACTCCCTGCTAACACATAAAGATACGACTTCAAATAAGGAGAATAAGCAGTTCTCTTTTGGGGACAAAACACTGCATGAACCAGAACTCTGTGTTCTTTCTGTTTAATACGCAAATATTTCAGGGTTGTTGTTCTCTCATACTCTTTCTCTCTCTGTGTGTGTCTTTGTCTCTGTCTCCCTTCTGTTTTATGTGGCTTGTTTATATCGATATCAAAGCTTTCATTGAAGTCCATCTATTATCTAATATCGCTTATATACACCTCCAGCTCCATCCCACGCTCGTTCGGCTGTCTCAAGCGGAGCCAACGTGCTGCCTCAAGCAGACAGACACGATCATTGTGTTTAATACACGAGAAGACACAGAGGACTGTCTCGTAGTGTGTGGTAACATCTCCCTTTGGCTCTCCCACACTGTAACTCACAGAGCTTGCATGGCATCCCTCTTATCTCCTGAGCCACAACCAGGCCACTGTCCAGTATGTGCCAAGTGTGTGTGTGTCTACATTTGTGTACATCTGTCATGAATAGATCTGTTGTGTCCCATATGCAGCTGTTGACTTCAGTGTGGGTGAAGGCCCCAGCTTTCTGTCCCTATCTCTCTGTTCACTTTTGTTTAGGTCTTCCAGCCTCGGACATATAATGCTCTACTAGACTTCTGCTACATGCTCACATATACGCACAGACATACACACACACACATATATATATATATAATCACACACTGCCCCAGTTGAGGCCACACAACCTGACTCTGTCCCTGTCTCCCCAATCATTGGAGCTGTGAATCAATAGGACAGCCGCTGCTGTAGAGTCAGGGTTACACTGAGATATCGCCAGCATCTCATCATGGGACAGATCCCCTAGGCTGTGTTCACACACTCCTGCTGTGTCGCTCCCACTCTGAGACAGGGTTGTGACCTGTTAAATTGGTCTGTATACAGGCCTTATCTGAGCCATTTTTCCAGGGTCAGAGCTGGAACTTAACAGCCGTCTCCAAAATGGACCCTCGGGTGTCCTTTCACTCTGAGCTGAGCATTGGACCTCTGACCAGGAGGACACGCTCATGACCCACATGCTCAGCCTCTCTGGGACCCAGGCCTCTGAAGAAGGAACAGCTCCATTGTTCAGTGAGAAAAAAAAAAAAGTCTGTTTAAGACCAAGCAGCCGGCTGCCATTCTCACCACTGACACAGTAATGCGTCATTTTGAAGTGCACAATAATGAGCAATCACATAGTATCACCATCCTTGATGTACCCCTTTGTCTCCTGAATCAGCTCTCTCAGCTTTTGTTTGCTTTGTGCCTTTTGCGTATGAGCTGTGTTTGTGTGTGTTTATGTGTGTGTGTGTGTGTGTGTGTGTGAGAGAGACAATGTTGAGGATAGTGTAGGAATTCCTCCAATGCGATTTGCACGGCTCTCTTGTTTGCTTGCTGTGATGAATCTTACCCCTAATGAAATGCAACAACGTTCCTTATGAAGGAGAGATGTGCTCCCTCATCCAGCAAATTCCTCTTCTGGGCTCGAAGGAAGGGAACTCATCTACTGTACGTCATCTGAGGAAGAGAGAAAGAGAGTTTGTTTTGTAAGTCAGCAGATCTAACTACACAGGAGACAATATTCTGGAGTCTTAAATGGGTGCCAATACTGACCTTATTTAGTAGATAAGGTAATGGGCAGACATCACCAATCTACATTAATGACTGATTTATTTCTCTTTTGTCATTATGTAATTTAGTTTTTCCACTATTAGTTACATTGATTCAGTTATGTCATTTTACGACTTTCTGAAACTGATCCTAATGAGTTCTACATTCTTGAATATAGTTTACCTTAGAGACAGATTTTTTAGGCCAGTACTATTATCAAATGATTAAAATCGTATGACATTATATCAGCCAATATGCTTTTCTTTTGCATATAGCTTACACAAACATTTGATAAAAGCATGTCTCAGTAAATAAATTCTACAGTTGAACATTAAACTTTAAATTTAAACTTTAAAAATGACAGTACCATTAATGTAAAGTAATTACATTTAATTAAAATCACTTTAAATAAACCACATAAAAGAAAAGTCTATGAAGCTTGAATTGAAAGACATTATATGCTGCAAATAAAACATTTATTTATGCAGTTTACTGCTCTGCATAAACTGCTTTTTTACACACCTGCCAACATGCAAAATGATACAATAAATCTGTTCTAACCTGGTATTGGCTGATAATTTCAGCCTTTTGTTGTATGTTGCACATCTCAGTCAAGATGTGGCAACATTTTTACCAGTCTATGTGTATGAGACCATTATACAACGGGTAGTACAAGAATACCCCACCCAGTGACCACCATACACAATTTTTACAAGACATCTTCGGCGTCTACATGGCTATGCATTGTGTCTGAATGTAGTTGATGTTCGCCTTGAGGGCTCTTCTGGTTTTTATTTGACCCTCCATTGTACCATTGTTGTTGTTGTCCTGATGATTTTCTCTGCTTATCTGTAAGGTGTAGGTCCTTAAACTCCTATTCATCACTGACAAACTCTCTCTCTCACACACACACAAACAACACACACACACACACACACACACACACACACACACACACACACACACACACACACACACACGCATTCACACACTCATACATACAGTATATTGGTCACACACGCCGCAGTGATCTGGTTCATTTGGCCTCTTTTATCTTCCTGCTAGGAATGTGGCCAGCTATGATAAGGTCTCACCCACATGCATTGCTGAGCCTACGCGCACACACACACACACACACACACACACACACACACACACACACACACACACACACACACACACACACACACACACACACACACACACACACACACACACACACACACACACACACACACACACACACACACACACACACACAAACACACACACACTTAGAGAGAGGTTGTGATAGTGGCTCTCTGTCTTCTGTGCCTGGGCAACTGGTGAGGTTTTTGTGTTGGTGACAGATGCAGCGCTGTGGCTGGCCACTCTGTCTTACCCCGTGGGCCTGCTTTAGCTTTGTATCATATGACACACACATACACACACGCTCAAAGCTCATGTTGGACGTCTTTATGTATACAGTGGATCAGTTTTCAGCCCACGCTGATCGTTGGAATGGAAATAAACAGGAAGAGCTGGGTGACCCCCATAACCCCTCCAGCTCCCTGACAGGCGGACAGGAACAAGGAGGCAAGGGCACTCCATCAACTGGGAATGGAGATCATGTACATGTAACTGTCACATGTGAAATGGCCATCATGAACACACACACATTTACACGCACATACACACATACACACAAATACACACACACACACACACACACACACACACACACACACACACACACACACATACACACAGGCAAATCAAATTCAAAGCATCTTTTTTCAACCTCATTTTAATCTGACAGAAGGCCAAGCGTATGCCAGTGTGCTCAGCCACCTGTGCTCTTGTCCACAATACAACGTAATGCTCCCGTTTACTGCCAGGACGCTGCACTGTTGCGTATATGGTGTTGAAG